CAAACTGCCAGAATCATGGCCGAGACCTTTGCATTTACCTGTCACTCCCGGGTCCAGGGTCGAGGCCTCTGTGTGCAGGTGTCCAAAGATGCGTTCCTGCAGGCTGTGGCCGGGCGCTGTGGCAGAGAGCTTGAAGGAGGAGACACACAGAGAGCAGAGGTGCCGGACTGGTCTGGTGTGATGGGAACACGCCTGGTTGGGGAGGACTTGCTGGAGGAGAGTCCTGAAGGGAGAGAGGGCGTGAACCCACTGAGAGAGCTCCAGGCACAGGCCAGGCGTGGCTGTGCAAAGGCCCTGAGGCAGAAGTGTCTAAGGATCAGCCAGCAGAGTGACTGGCTGCAGTGAGAGGAGATGCAAGTTAGCGTGGGTGTGTGCGTTTGCTTCTGGGGCGCCGTGGGGGGCACCCCTGCAGACTCCTGTGCTGGGAGAGCCGACAGATTTGACCTCTTCCACTCCCTGCCCGACTCCCTTTTCCCCAAAGTGGCCCACCTTCTAGCCTCTTGGGGCTGGGGGCCCCTTGCCTGCCAGCAGCCCTTTTTTTTTGCGGGGTGGGGGTGGTACCAGCAAGACTCAGAATTGGCCTTCCTCAGTGTCCCGGCTTGACCCTTGGCCCACGTCTTGCTGTGAGGGGCGGGGTGCCACCACCTCCTGGCCCCCACCCAGCCCTGGCAACCCTGGGGGGGAGATGCCAGCCTCTACCTTCATCCCAAATTCCTACAAATGCTTCTCTGGGACCCCCTGCCCCTGCCTGCAGACAGGAATAGCAGGCGCTTCTGCAGGCTGACTGGCACCTGGGGGTCGTGGGGTGTGTCAGCACCTGGAAGCTCCGCCCCCACCCCCACAGTGGTTCTCTTCAAACCACGGCGTCCTCGGTGCCTCTTTATTCTTGGTTTTGGGTCCGTGTAGACAGTGTCTGCAGAACAAAAACCATCTCCCTCAACTGCCCACTGCAGACCCAGGAAAGCAGAGGCGGGGGGAGGGGTCACCCAGGTGCTGCGGCAGTAAAAGGCCGAGACTGGCTCTGAGACCCCGAGAGGCTCAGCCTGGGTCTGGAGCCTTCTTTCTGTTGTCTCACAGCAGACACAGACATGAGGACAGCGATGGAAAGGGAATCTTCCAGAGGAAACCAGTGAAGAAATGGAGAGCAGGCAGCGGGGAGGGGCCCAGAAAGGGGGTCCTCAGGGAGTGGCCTCGGCCTGCCCCTGCCGGGGCCTCTGGAATGAGTGACCCCAGGCCCTGCAGCTGGAGACCCCGACCTGCGGTCTTCCGCTCTGGCGGGGTAGTGCAGGTTCCCTGGTGAGTCTGGCCCGCTGGCCCAGGCAGCCCATCGATCTAGAAAGAGCCACAAGTGCACCTGTTGGCCGCAAAGCACATGGAAGAGCCGGGGTGCACACAAGAGAGGAGAAAGGGGGGCGGGGGGGCCTGGGACTGGGTGGGGCACCCATGCCGTCCTTAGGGTCCAGTGCTTGCCCTCCATGCTAACGCCTCCCAAGTGTTGCAGTGAGCAGAGCACCCGCCCTGCGCCCGGAGAGCCTGACACTCCCCTTCCAGCCCTGGACTGTTACTGACCTCGGCTTCCTCCGGAAGCCCTGCCTGCTTCCCTCCAGCAGCTGCCCAGCTCCTCTGGGGTTGACCCAAGCTGCCAAAGGGAGGCGGGGTCAGCACCCAGGGCAGCGCTGGGCAGGCTGGAGGCTGGGCCCGGCATCTGCAGAGGCTTCCACGCCCAGCCACAGCTGACATCTCCCCCCACATACCCCCTCAGCTCTCCCCTGGAGCCCCCACCACCAGCAACCGTCGCTGACTCCCTTGTGTGTTAGAAGGGAGTGAGCCTCAGCATGAGGCCGGGGCTCCAATCCTGACGGGGGACTGGCTGCCTGCCTCGGGCTGGGCTACCCCGCCGGGGCCTCAGTTTCCTCATCTGTGAAGTTGAGCTGCAGACTCCTTCCTGTCTTGGTCAATGTGGGGATTCCGTTTCGCCACCCAGGGAAAGGAGGTGCAGAGAGGAGACTGCTCTGTTACTGGGGCTGTCCCCCAGGGTCACCCTCATGTTTGAAGGAGGGACTTTGGGGCTGGTCGCCTCCATGAGTTTGGGAGCTTGTCCAGGGCAGGTGTCAAGTCTCAACCCCGCCTCTGTCTCCATGTACAGGGTAGAGGAGCAGGACAGGGGTGCTCAGGGAGTGGGGGATGAGTGAAGGCGTGGATGGACCGCTGGGCTGTGAATGGCTGGATGGTGGGTGGGTGGGTGGGTGCTAGTTGAGTGGCTGATGGGTGGATGATGGATGGTTGGTGGTGGATGATGGATGAATGGATGGTGGATGGTTAGTGGCTGATGGG